GGGTAGCCCAGCAGAGCATGGCCTGGCGCTGCAGCTATGGCGGAGCTTGTGCTCTGAGGTGGTGGCCTCGGCGTGACGGTGCCTGTCCCCTCTCCTGCCCGCTCAACCGGCCGGACACATTGCCGCAGCCGTACATGTCTACTGGACAGAGAGGGCAGGGGACTGGCTGCACAGACCTGTTTCACCCGAGGCTGATGCCTAGATGACCAAATGGGCACATTTCATCATGCTCTCTTAGCACATTTTGCACCTCTCAGAATTCCCGTGGACCGAAGATCTTCTATTTGCTCCACTGAAGTTCTGTTACTCGAATTCCATACTGCTCAGGGCTGCTAGAAACGTCAGAGAGCAAGCTCACTGGTTTGTTTCTTGACATCTTTGCCCGAAACTCCGTTAGACCTAAGTGTGGCTACCTTTTGGATACCAGAAAGTGGTATCTCCTAATTGCTATATTCTATACATATTTATTCTTAAAGCTGATACAGAAATAAGTGCCGTATAGTTTGGCGACTATCCATAAGCTTAAAAACCAAAGGCCTAAAATTTCAAACTTGCTTGTCTGAGGTTAGGCTCCTAAACTAGGTGGCAGGGAAAGGCAAGCCAATAAATAAAAGCGTTTTAAATCAAGGAACAACCATTTGATGTAATGTCTATGATACACACAGATGCAAAAGTCCATCTATGAAAGCAAACAGTATTTTTAGCTCTGTAATGAAGTAAGTGGACTTTATTAGGAAAATTTGGATAATAAAGCAAGCAGGATTTGGCCCACAGTTGTTTTACCACTATGGAGCAAAATAAAAACCTCCTTTGGTGTGTTAGACACTTCAGATATGTGTTCATGACTCCTCAGTCCCTGTGCCAGAGATATTACAGTCTGTTTCCAAATAAAAATCGTGACATGAAGTGATCACCAAAATAATTTTGACCTTCAAGGACAGATTAAAATGGAAAAAAGCAGCAAAAATTAATCTGCTATTTTTCCCATTGAAGTCTAGATGATGCCTGTTCCCCTAGATACAAAAAACCATACATACTTGTGCAAACATAGGAGACCACTGCTACACAGTTCTTCTCATGTACAACCTCACGCACATGTGTCTACCTCACCTCAGGCATGCACAAGGCCGGTTTTGTACATGGACAGATAGATGCATAACACATACATGGCTACAGAGGCACACATACACACAAACAGAAATCCTGACAGCTGTTTCCCTCAAATAAACAAGGCTACTGAAGGGACTGATACAATTCCTATTCAGTGAAAAAACAGCCCATAATTTCAGTGGGGTTTGGATCAGATTCATTTAAACTAGGTGAGCACTATGCACCTTAGAGACATACATGGTCAAGCACATTTTCAAAGCAGTTACCGGAACAGCAATAAATTTGTGAAATCCCTCTCCAGCATAACTGTTTCACCATACAGGAGAACTATACTACAGTTTCACGAACAAATTAAAATTCTATTAACCTACCCAAATGCCTTATAAACAAAAGAACTGAGAACATATTCATTTGAGTCTATTTATTATTTTCTGTTACTATACTTTTCCTGGTTTTTTAATGCACATATCCCTACATATATGCATATATACCCAGACCCCCACATAGAGAGTCCCACTATACTAGTTCAAATTTAGACAAGAAATTCTTTTAATGGGAATGAATCAAGTGACAGATTTAGTTTAATAAAAGCAAAAAGCAATGACCATTATTTAATTGGGACAGCGTTACCTAACATTTCACATGTGGAGTGTGGGGAATAAGAGGTAGGCATGCTTACGTGGTACCGGTGAGTTCAGTAGTGTTTAATGGGTGTTACATGACTGGGGCGGGGGGATGCGAGAGACAGACTGTGGTCTTTTGCAGGTTGGAACACCCAAAATTAATGACAAAAGAAAAAATGAAGATGAAATGCAATAAATATTATTTTATGCAGAACAATGTTGTCTTCCATTTCAATCTCATCAGATTTTCCTGATTTTTTTTTTCCTAAGATTGCTTTTCTTGCATGTAATATCTGCTTAAATTTGGGCAGCAAGCAAAATAGCTAAATCGTGATGTTTCTACTGTATATACATATATATCAATTGAAGAAAATAAATGAAAAGGATGAATATGCCTCAAAAGAAGAGGTCAGATAACAACTTCAGAATAAAAACTACTCATTCTTGAACCAGTACTTCTTGTATACAAGTCTAAAGAAGTTTTGCTGATGGCCTTACTGTAGGAACAGAACTGACTCCATAATCTCATGATCCATATAGGACAGTAAGTGCAGGTCTTATGCAAAAAGATAAAGTATAGCAGGTTACAAGGGTTTCAGCACTCCTGTTCATTTGGGAATCTTTAAACCTATTGGCGTGGAAGTACTTGCTCACATTTTGTTTACTGACTGCTAAACTGCAGGATCTCTATTCTCAGTTTGGCAGCTGCATTACACATATATTTTTAAAACCCATTACATTGAGAAAGGCCTAATTTGACTAGAAATAATCAGAGAAGGAAACAAGTAAGCAAGCTAACAAACAAAGTACCAATGGTTCATGTGATACGAGTTTGGAAGGTCTCTGTTCAGTTGCCAGGCAATAATTGTTAGCATTAAAAAAAAAAACCAAACCAAACACCACTCATCTTTTACAACCTGAGCAGAGAGGACCTGGAAAACCAAATATTCCTCTCAGGCTTTGAATAGTCCCTCTGCCCTGGAGTAGGTGTAGCATGGGGCAGTGAATTAATAAAGCCAGAATATCTATTGCTAATGGATTTACTAAGCATGAGAACCGAGAATCAGTCACACAGTGCCAGAACTATATTCTATGGAAACTGTTCAAAATAACAACAAATAGAAATTCATAGAAACCAGGATCCTTCAGGGAGGGCTGTAAGGTATTTAACCCAATCCTGCGACTGGACAATTAAAAGTAAAGCAAAATTCAGCAAGATCTTGATTTTCAACACAATCAAAGTATTTCTACCCACTGTGAAAAGGAAGGCAAAAAAATCTCAGATGCAGTAGTGCAAGACAAAAGGCCTTTCCCTGCAAGCATCTCCTTCTCTGAGCAGCGCTTACTGCTGTGAGAAGCCCTATTGTGGTCAGGCTAAGTCCTGTTAGAAGACTGCTTGGAGGAGGAAAGCTCTCACTGGATCAGGATGTAGTTACTTTACTCAAGAAATAGCTGCTGGGTTTGCAAATAACGTACAAAGCTTTGTATCACAACAGACTGTTGGTGAATACAGACAGCCACAAACTATTTTCCTGACTAAATAGTTAAAATTGGGGTTAAAAAAATAGAAATCGCAGAAATGCAGGCAATCACACATCAATAAATACTATTTTTTAAAAAAATGTCCTCAACTCCATAAACTGCAATATAATAACAGTCTGCCCTGTACTTCAGCACAATTAATAGTAAACAGGCCTTTAAAAACTTAGTAAATACTTATGAAATGAACCATAGTTTTCTTAGTGTACAGTAAAACCTGTGAATCAGTAAACCATTTTTAAATTTTTGTAAAACTTTTACGTATCAAGAAAACGATCACATTTTGCCTTTATTATTTCTACTACAGATTTGCATGCACATGCATTTGTGTATAACTTCACATGTGCACACACGCATCTGTCCATGCACCCATAAAATAGTCTGCACGCACATACAAAGACTTCTATGTCCACAAATACCAGATCAGAAAAACTAAAGAACTAAAAAATGCACCTTGTATAATTGTTACAGTAAGTTAAAACTGTTGCATAAATTTAAAATTATTATGTAAAAAATGTCATGGTTTCTGATACTGATTTTATTTTAAAGAGCAAAACCAGAAAGCACTTGGAGAAACTAACAAAAAAAAAAAAAAGGGCAATGCTGAATTTCCATTTTATAGGCTTTTTATTGTTGTATTTCATTCAGCTTGGCCAGCAAAAAACCCAAAAAACTACAAAATCAATGTTTATCTTCCTGTCCTAGCCATTTTACCTCCTTGCTGTCATGTACTAACACAAATCAGTTGCATTTGGCTTTTTGACACTAAATATAAAAGTCTTTTAATTTAAAAACAGAAGATACTTGTTTTTACTGTTCCTTCTCACAAACACACTTTTTTAAAAAAGAAAAACATGGGGCTTTATGAAGTCATTGTCATAGGTCCTTCAAGCTGACTTTTAGGGTCACGCTTCAACATAACACTCCTTACACTGCAAGCCTGCTAAGCAGAGCTCCCAAATGTTTCTGCTTAGTGACGTGGCACATTGTTCATTTATGTCACACTATACCCAAGTCCCTCGACCTCTTCATAAAGCCTAGAGATGAAGGTGTGGGTGACCTGCCCGTATATGGACTAGAACAGTTCAGGGTACAACTCAGTACCATAAAGTTGGGACTATTTTCTTGCTCCTGTTTTTCTTATTTGGTTCAGTTAGGTTGGCCTTTTGCTACAATTGCGTGATAAAAATGCATCCATATGAACATACACACACACACATTTATTTACAAAACTCTCTACAAATATGTGGAATACAGGTTAACAAATCCTATTTTTGTGTAGTGGATTCTTCCTTCCCACCCTTGCTTGCCTCAGCTTATCATAAACAGGGAGCACATGCTCCCCTCAATGCCCTGCAATTCCCATCGTCGTCTGCAACACACTGCAGATGGGTAATCCATTGCAAATCCAGCCACACTGCCTGCAAAGTCCACGTCCGTCCTGTGCAACAGGCACAGCAACACACACCACCCTAATTTACCTACGAAGCAATTAAGGCGAGGAACCTTAACACCAAACTGAGCAGCTGAGGGGGAGATTTCTCACACTTACATTGACAGGCCCTGACATCTGCTTCCTCTGCTCCATGATGAACTCTGCGATCGTCCAGGCGCCAGAAGACAGTGGCCAACCCAGCTAGTGCTCACGTCTGCTGAACTGGCTGCTCAGGCCCAAGCTCACGCCTCTGCCTTCCGCCCTGCCTCCCCGTTTTCTACTCCTGTGCTCACCAGGAGCGCTCGTCTTGTTCGTCGTAGGAAATGAGGCGGGAGGAGCAGCGCAGCAGGGGAATCGGCTGAGGGCCCTTTCCCGACACAGGTGTCCACAGAGGTGGGTGAAAATCTGGGAGACACAACGGAAGGAAAACAGAGAGACAGTGCGCGTGTGCCTGAGTTCAGACAAAGGAGAAGGGGGAACAATGAAACAGAAAGAAGGGCAAAACAGGATTTTTATTTATTTTTTTTTAAAAGAGAGGGGATTGAAAGAGGAGAAATAGGAACTGTCTTGCCACGTTCACGTCATGAGTTTGCATTCAGTCATTTCTCTGCCTGTGCCGTACCATACTTCCCCAGCAGATGCTCCTGTGAGGGTAAGGAGGGTGACTGAGAAGTGTTGCTTTGATGAGGGTGAGTCTGGGAACCAACAGTGGACAGGTTTTTTTTTAAAAAGCCTACGAGTCACTCTGCTAATTCATTTCTTTTTTTGGCTTCTTACGTCCTGATTTGGAAGGAAAAGAAAGTTACCAAATATATTGCCAAAAACCAACACTCTCCAAAGCCGTGTCATCTCTCCCCATACTTCAGGATGTCCTTCTCTTTGTAGCTCCTCAAGAGGAAATTCAGTTCCTCTTCCAGGCGGCAATTCTGCCTGGCCCTGCGTTTGGGACGCATGGGCTGGAGCCTCTCCGAGGAGCAGGAGGCCACATGAGCAGATCTACAGTGAGGGCTGAGAACTGTGCCGGGGGCAGCGAACCCCTCACTGCACCATCCCTGCACTGGAGATGTACCAACAAACAGCAAATTAATGACGAGTATCTGTTTGCATCAAAATTGGCAAACGTATTGGCACAGCCAGCAACTTCTAACAGGTATATCAGGATTTTTTACCTTCTCATAGCAAATAAATAGTTTACGCACATTTCCCCTCTCTTCCCGCTCCCCCCACCCCCCTACTCCTACTGGTTTTCTCTTCACTTACATCACCGGCCATTTCTAATGCGACAAAACAGAGCACAGGAGCACATGCTGAAAATTAACTAAAACACAACAACATAATAAAAGAGATTTAGAAAGGAAACCAGCAAGTGATAGAGACCTGGCATCAGCTTGCCACTAAGGACAGGGGCAGCTCCGCCAGACACGCAGAATTTTAGCAAGTCACCCAGCCAGGCTTTCCAGACAGAGAAAGGCAAAGGCATTGAGACGTTTCTGTGTTGGCTTTTGTGTCTTCCTTTGGACGCTCGCAGCTCATGCTACTTATGTTAAATTAATACAGCTGACTATATATTCTGTATATTGAGGTTAAACAACTGATAGTGTCATGGCTGCTGGCCACTTCTTCCCAAACCTTCTCCTAATTAACCGGCCTTTTTTGTCTTTACTCCTCTCCTGGGAAATGCTGACATTTTTTCCGGAGTGGACACTATGTGCCATTCACTCAGCATAAGATCAAACGTGCTCTCCTCTAGGCCACTTCCTCCTTTCCCACCTTTTGCTCATACCGAGGGTGGACACCGACGTGGGCGCTGACTTGCATCCGTACAGTTGGGACTGTAACGCGACGAGCTGCACAACAGCACACATTCTTTCAGTGCTTGTCCCGATTCCTCTGCTGGAAAATAACCTTATTTGCTTCAGTAAAGTTATAAGCTCAAGAGTGCGGTGGGCCCTGATTCGGCAGCGCTTTCTGCCTCCCACACCAATCTGGTAGAACTGTTCACGTGAGGGCAGAGAATTCAAGGAGGAAAAATGGAAGAATCGTGTCCTTTAAAAGCTAAATGTAATTTCTCCATGGCAGTTCCCCATTGCTTTCCATTTTTTTCCTTCAACCATGCGCTCATTTTGAAAACGCATCATTTAAAACAATCAAATTCTCAGAAGAAATTTTTTTTGTAATTCCCTTTTTCAGAAAGCTTTGCACGCAAACTGAAAATGTTCATGTTTCCCCAGCAGTTGAACCTTGTCCACTCGGGCAGAAGCCCAGGGTAGCTTAAGTTAGCTATTTAGCATGGTATTATCCCATACTGTTTACTTACATCTCGCTGAAAATAAGGGATGATGGAACACATTTTCCCAGGCACACCCTGACTTTATTCTTAGTAAACTGTTTACTATATTCTTGGCCTAGAAACTCATGTTACTCCGATCCCTTTTTAAAAAACATGCCCAACTGGAGCAGCCACTTCCAGGTGTGGGGAGAAATTGCTGATAACCCTTTCAGTACCTCCACTGGCTAGCAAAGGGGTCAACTTCGGAAGATAGCTTGGCCACCACCTGGGAGACTGAGCTGCTGCAATGGGAGAGCAAGGAGAACAGGAGGAAAACAGAGATTTGCCAAATTCAGAGAATGAGCTTTGGGGAATCCTCTAATAAAACAAATGGAAAATAAAATTCACCTCCCTTTTCCTCCCATGTCTCCCACCTATGTCTGCTTGGGAGGGAACAACGTGGTGCCTAGCCATTAGGACTAACAACGCCATGACTTACCAACATTACACAAATACAAGGGTCACGCTTCGCCTCTGGACTCAAGGGAATCGTCCCTTTTCTCCTGAGGAGGTTCATGCTGCATCCTTGTGACCAGCACGGGTACCATCGGTATGGGAATGCACGCCCTCGTGCCACCGTGCTTACAGCCCAGCCAGTGGCTACTTGCACAGGGACGGGAACGCCTGTCATGGAAGCACCCGAGCTGCACTGGAGGCTGCACCGTGGCCATGTGGAGGAGACAGTGCGTACCAGCCCCAGGGAGGTTCTACAGAGACTAAAGCTGTATTGGAAATGAGACTCACGTCATGCTGCTACCTTGATGTATGTCTCCATGTGCAGATATAATAATTAATAAAGCATCTTCTATCGCCCTTCCAAACCCATCCAAACAACAGTATCAAATACGCTACACAACACAGGTGTCACTTCTTATTTTTAAGTGGAAACTTTGAGTTTCACAGCGACAAGTTTTGTGACTCTCTTCTACAAACCAGGAAGCTTGACCATCCAGAATTAAAACAAAATGCTAGGAAAAAAATCTGTTTTATATTTACATACATATGTATTTTGCGCACACGTGTGCACAGACGTGTGCAGTCAACCCTGTGCCTCTGTGTAGTGTTCTTAACAATACCAGGTCACTTACACAGAAAACTGCCTGTATTTAAATAAAGTGCAACTTCTCCCTGCTCCAGACAACATCCGTGGACACTGCTGCAGGTCCAAATGCATCTTTCCTGGTTATATTTACAAATGGAAATGGATTATGTTTACAAACAGAAATTAAAGTGAAACAGCATAGTCTCATTTGGACTAAGTTTGGCTGCTGTAGCGCTCCTCCCTGAAGTTTGGTAAGCCTACACCCTGTATTTTCCCCCAGACTGCTTATTACGGCTGCAGTACCATAAATCTGCTAACCTTTCGTACCACTTCTACTGCTAATTAGGCTTCATCAGGGTTTTCACTCTTACACTCCCTACGTTAGACAAACGCAATGGCAGCTACGCATGCTGTAAGAACCACTAACTGCATTACTGATTATCAGAGCAGTTCCAGTGGTCATGCTAAACAGGTGATAATAACAGTAGGAATATTTTGGCAAAACAGACTTGTGTGGACACTGCCAGCGAGCAACAAACCTTACTGATCATCAAGCAGTCCCCATAAAAAATTTCAGAGAAATGACGTGAAGCAACATGACACCAACCAAATTAACCTGCACCCGCTGAATCTGGGGTGTATCTGGTACTATAAAAGCCAAAAGGTATTCATTTTACTTTCTAGAAAATGCCCCTCCAAAAGTATATTTAAAAACTACTAGCATTTCAGCAAGTTGATAGTTATTGAAAGCTACACAAGCAACAACCACCACCAAACTTGCCTGAAAATATAATAATAAAAGTTAATTTACATGTGTCCTTTATTAGAGCAATCTCTACAGCCAGAAATGAGATGGCAGCATACCACAGTTAATGCAAATATTATAGCCAAATGCATTTGTGATAACAGATTTAAAAGAGAAAGAATGAGAACTGATGTGCAGATGATCTGTAAAAGATTCGAACACTAATAAAATTTTTTTGGGGGGTAGGGTAGAAGAAGGGGAGGGTAAGAGTGTTAATCATTATTTCATGAGACCCGTATTCACAAAACTATTTTTTACAGATGGTTGGAGTATTTCTCAGCCCTTAACTGACAGGAATACAGGAGGCTCAGAGGCCTTAAGCAGCAATTCTATTCATAGGCCCTTAGCCTTTACATAATTGTATTAAGTGCAGTAACAGACGTAAATTAACATGCACTGACCCCATGCTCCTAGCAATATATGCCTTGACCTTTTAAAAAACCTCAAGAGTAGTACTAGTTTAATATTTGATATGTCCTCTTTTGTGGGAGATTAAACGCTGGCCTAGGAGGTGTATGTACTCGAGGCTCTAGCAGGCCTTGTCCATCTTTGGCTATGAGGATCTGCTTTTCTTTCCTCTCTCTAAATAGGCAGAGTTCGTCTATTTTGCTGGTAAACTAGCTGATGCCACTGAAGCGCTGCTAAGCTTTACGGGTCCTAATGAAGCATTTGACCTAAGTCAGGTGGACGCGGAGCCCCTCACCTCTGAAGACATCTGTCCACAATGGCAGCTTTCAGAAGGAAGACATTTTTGTTGTTTTACAGCAAAGAGGACACAGCAATTCGTGAGCAGGTAATGGCCGTCGAGAAATTAGATGCCAGAATGAAAGGACAAAAATGGACGTCTTGCAAAAAGCCTTCCTCGGTATTCTTTTTTTACTCATAAATTGAATTTAAAATTCAAAATACAGTAAACGTAAAAAACCTTTGCTGTAGTTACTTATCTATAAACTTTTAATTTCGTAACTGGAATGCATTTCCTCTTTCTCCAAAATTGCCAGGTCTGGAAACAGAGCAGGGGACGATCACTAAACATGACCGGACACAACAAGATGTTATGTTGTTTTACTGGGAGGGGGTCCTTTTGCTGTTAAAACACGTGCCATTAATTAACTCGCCTCTCAATTTGCTACCCCATGATGACAGCAGTAGGCAGAAAACTGGGTAGTGTGCTAAAGGGGCGGGGAAAAAAAAAAAAAAAAAAAAAAAAAAAGAAGAAACCTACGAGATGAAACCTACGAGAACTGCAAATATCGGACAATGCACTGGACTACGAAGTGGAAGAGAGAGTTAACCGGTGAATAAAGAAGGAAAGATGAGGTAAAGCAGGAGATTTGAGGCAAAGCCCACTAACTTTTTGCCTTCCCCACCTCCTTACGACGACAGCTTTCCCTCGAACTCAACGCGGCGGCTTTTTATATATAATTCATATAAACTTCCAGCGGATTTTTCCGCCTCTTCCGACGCCCTCACCTCCCCTCCGCCGACCCGGGCTTTCCCCTGCGCAGACCAACGTCTGCCTGG